TAAGGTCAGAAAAGAATGACATGGACCATCCAGGTCATCTGTGACTGCAGCCACTCTGCTACAAAACACAAGAGAGAAGACAGATTCAAGCAGACCAGCTGAGTGACATCCAATCTGTGGTAAGAGATAGAACAGGTCAACACCACAAGTAACTGTCAGTGTTTCATGTCCTCTATTGTTAAACAGCTAGGGAGGGGTTTTAGGCTTTTGGTCTTCTCATTTGCTTTCCTATGGGAAATCTAGGAGAAAAATTCCCCAAAGCTGAAAACTCATGTGAACACGATGAATAGTAGGAGGAAGCACAGACATTCTACAGTACAAGTTAAACCATAGGACAGAAGCTGTACCTTCTGAATTTAGGATGACACAACTGCCAGGTGGCTGGCACGAGGCACGGTTTGACCTGGGTTAAGGAACAAGAAGAAAGGAGCTCCAATAATGACCGGAGCAAGGTCATGATCAGATGTTGAAATGTTAAAGTTCCCAAAGGAGAAGACTGAGGGAAGTGACAGAGGTAGGCTGCAGTGAACAGCAGGCAGTTTCCCAGAGGACCCTGATAGGAAAATTAAGATTTAGAGATCAATTTAGCCAGAATGAGAGGAGAAACCAAATGATAGGCACAGTGGCTACACAAGGTGCACCTGCACTGAGTGGGTTCTACATGAATCATTAGAAGGTAAGCTCTAAGAGGGCAGGGATTTCTGAAACCATTGTATTCTGAGATCTTGCAAATAACAGGCAAAAGGGATGGATGGATGGATGTATCATCTCAATCTATGTGGGCCTAACTTCAGCTCAAGTTGTAGCTGGTTAAGGGTTAAAATGTCTGGGAAAGAAGAATGAACTTCCGATATTAACACATGTGACCAAATCATTCACTGATAAAGAGCACAATAGTCATCCTTAATCAATTTTCAGTGAGTCTGGGTAATTTGGCGTATGGGGGTTAAGGATGTATGTAGCTCAGTGACTAAGTACTTGCCTTGTGTGCCTGAACCTATGGCCCTGGGTTCAATCCCTAGTACTGAAAAGGGGAAAGTAAGTTCTCAGGCTGTAGTAGCTTTTGCAGAATCTCCTCAGGTCTAGAAAAATGTGTTCCTTCAGCAACTCCCTCTCACAGAAGGCTAAGTCTTCTCAGGGAAGTCATTCTCACACAAAATACCCTTTTGACTACATGTGAATGACAAGAACAAGAAAGGCTGAGTGTGGTGGTACATGCCTGTAATCCTAACACTTGGAAGGTAGAAGCAAAAGGATCAAGAGTTCAAGCCTAGCCTTGGCTATAAACCAAGTTTAAGTCCACCCTTAGCTACACAAGATCCTGCCTCAACCACCCCACCACCACCAAATCTAGGAATTTTGAAACTGAGGTTATCTTTTTTTTTTTTTTTATGTGTATGAGTGTATTGCATGTATGTGAGTGCACCCGTGTTGTGCAATGCCATGAAGGTCAGAAGAGGGCTTCAGATTCCCCTGGAACTGGAGTTAAAGATGGCTTGTAGCCGCCATGAGGGTACTGGGAATCAAACCCGGGTCTTCTGTAAGAGCAGTCTGCTCTTAACTGCTGAGCCATCTGTCCAGCCCTGAGGTTATATCTTTTAAAAAAAATTTTATGTGTATGAGTGTTTTGCCTGCATGTATGCAAAATGTACCACATGTGTGAATGCCCACAGAAGTCCAAAGAGGGCATCTGATCTCCCGGAACTGGAGTTAGAGATAGTTGTGACCTGTCATGTGGGTGCTGGGACCTGAACCTGGGTTCTCTGCAAAAGCAGTCAGTGCTCTTAACTGATGAGCCATCTCTTCAGACCCTGAGGTTATGTCTTGCTTTGAGATAGGGTCTTGCTATGTAGCCCAGGTCAACCTTGAACTCAATCCTCCTCAGCCAAAGATTATACATACACAATCACCACACTTTACTGGGCAGATTTTTTTAATTTAATTTTTACTTTTTAGAAAATATTTTGGGTTTTTTTATATTTTATTATTTTTATTTTATGTGTATGAGTATATTGCCTGCATGTATGTGAGTGCACAAGTGTTGTGCAATGCCACGGAGGTCAGAAGAGCTTTTCAGATTCCCCTGGAACTGGAGTTAAGGATGGTTCGTAGCCACCATGTAGACATTGGGAATCAAACTCGGGTCCTCTGCAAAAGCAGTCAGTGCTCTTAACTGCTGAGCCATCTCTCCAGTGCCCTTCTTTATTATTTTTATGAGTATCAGTGTATTGCCTGCATGTATGTAAGGGCACCCATGTCGAAGGCATTGAATTCTTTGGAACTGGAGTGATGGGCAGTTGTCTGTCATGTGGGTGCTGGGGATCAAACCCAGGTCCTCTGCAAGAGCAGTCAGTGCTCTCTTAACCACTGAGTCATCTCTCCAGCCTCATTTTTTTTAAAGATTAAAAAAATATATATATTTGTATGTCTCTGTGCATGTGCATGAGTACTGGTGCCCACAGAGGCCAGAAGAGGGCAACATATCTCCTGGAACTGCAGTTACAGGTAGTTGTGAGCTGGTCCACCAACACAGGTGCTAGGAACCAAACTTGGGTCCTTGGTAAGAACGGTATGTTCTCTTAACTGCTGGACCACTTCTCTAGCCCCTAGGCTAAGATTTTTTTTTTTTTTTTTTTGGTCTTTTTGAGACAGGGTCTCCCTATAGCCCCAGCTGACCTGGAACTTACTATGTAGACCAGGCTGGCCTTGAACTCACAGAGATCTGCCTGCCTCTGCCTCCCAAGTGCTGGGACTACAGGTGTGCACCACTATGCCCAGCTTTAGGCTGAGATTTTTATCCACTAGATTTCCGTATTTTTAGGGTCAATATGCTCTAAATTTAATTTAAATTCCCTTTCAACTGTTTTTCAGTCATTTGATAAACATTTTCCTGGCTGTCAACTATGTAATGGGTATTACACTTAGTCCAAAGGAACACAGAGATGCCACACAGGTATGTGGAGATTAAAACACAGAACACATAGGACCAGGGAGATGGCTGGGGGGGAGGGCACTTGTTGCTATGGCTGATAATCTGACCTACATGGTAGGAGAGAACTGACTCCAGCAAGTTGTTCTCTGACCTCCACATGTATCCATCCACAGCCATGCCCACACCCACACACAAACAAGAATAAATATTTTTAAAAACAGCACACATAGGATGGGCGTGGTGGGGCACATCTTTAATCCTAGCACATGGGAGGCAGAGGCAGGCGGATCTCTGTGAGTCCCAGGCCAGCCAAGTCTACAGGACTTGTGAGTTCCAGGACAGCTGGGGCTACAAAGAAAGGATGAAAAGAAGGGAATTCAGAAAATGGAAAAACTAATCCAGATAAAAGGATTAGGGAAAGCTGTGTTGAAAAGCTTAAACTAGATCCTGAAAGACAGACCCAATATACAGAGATTAAAGAAAGACTCCAAGGGCAGGGCAAAATGGGAGCTCTTCTAGGTAGAGGGAATTCTACAACCAAAGGTACATAAGAGGAAACTGAGTGTGCTATGGAAATGCCAAGTAGCTATGAGCAGAATGTGGAACACCTGTATCAGAAACATGCAGCCCAAACATATGGGGGGGGATGCAATAAATGCATAAAGAACTAAGTTAGGTCAGGGAGAATCCCCATGAAAAACTGAAGATGTTGGTTTTACTCTGTAAGACTGTATTACCAGGGTTCAGCATACTGAGCCTCTGCCTCTCTAAGTTTTGATATATTTTAGAAAAATTCACCTCCTTGTACTTGCATGAAAGAGCACATGGGTAAGACTTAATCCTGGCATTTTAGATTATCCTACTTTCCTGGTCTTACAGATGAGGAAGAGGCCTGAGCTGGGGATGTGGCTCAGAGGAAGAGCACGTGCCTAGCTTCTTGTGGGAGACTCTGGGTTTGATACCCACCCTCACCCCCACCCCAAAAAAGTTCCTGAACTAAGAAAATGGTGACGTGACAGTGGGAAGATAAAAACAGCTTCCTTGTAAACTTCCAAATTCATTTTCTTTCTCCTACTTCTTTGTTTTTGTTTGCTGAGTTTTTTATTTTTTTGAGACAGAGTCTCCCTAGGTAGCCCTGGCTGGACAGGAACTCACCTTGAACTCAGAGATCTGCCTCCCAAGTGCTGGGATTAAAAGGAAGGGCCACCATGCCTGCCTCTCCTACTTTTTTCCACCAAGTTGAGTGGTATAAGATTCTAGATGCTCTCACAGCTGCTGTGCTAAACTCCCCCAAACCCCTCACCCACAACAGCCTACTTGTTTATTTCTGCTATGACCCTCAATGCTAGTGACCCTGATCGATGCAACAGCTGTCTCAGAGGGTTCATGATGCTCTGTCACCACACCTGATCTCACCACAGCAGCCCCTTGCCTCAGCAAATGCCAAACCCGTCTACTGTGCCGAGCACAATGACTAAGAAGGTGCCTCCAAGAGCTCCAACAACTGCTTACACCGTCGAGGTAGTTGAGAAAAGCAGCAGCCCTCCTAAAAAGAAATCGCATCTTTTGGTATAAAAGAGCTTCGGGACAGGTACTTTGTGTGGGGGACCATGCAAAATTGGAGAGTCAGAAAGACCCCCATTTCTTGTGGACCACCGGGGTTCCCTTCTTATACACACACCCTGACCCAGTCGGACCATGAAACTGAGCCCATCAAAGGTCAGACCCAGTGTGGAAATGTGGACCATCGGGGCCGCCCATCGCTCCCCAAGGGCTTCCTGGCCAGGGAGGAGGGACAGTGCAGCACTGGATGGGCGTCACACCAAGGAAGTGCAGAACCTCATACGAGTGCGGCGGCCCAGTGCAGAAGTAGGGAAGCGGACTCTGACTCGGCTGCGGTACTAATAGGAGACGGAGGATGACATGAGGGAACAGAATAGGTGGGCCATCCACAGGAAAACCTCGCCCGACCTGCGACGGGCCCGGGAGGGATGGGCGCGCAGGGGGCGTCCGGCGCGGACACACGACCGGGATACGCAGCAGAGGGGGCGAACCGAGGCGCGCTTACCTTCTTCACCGCTGGCTGGAAGTGGAAGTCACCCGCCTCCTTCAGGTCCAGCCAGATCATGGGCATTCGGGGCACGGCCTCCATGGCGGCCAGCGCCTAGCGGCCACTGGGCCTCTCCCCTCACAGCTCCAGCTGCTGGCTCAGTCGCGCGCGCAACCCCGCCCCTCCACGCCGGAAGTCACCCGTCACGAGGAGATGAAGAATGCCCTCCGACCCGCTGGGAGATGAAGTCCGGCCCACGTACTCAGGCCACGTAAGCCGCTTCGCGCATGCTCTTCTTCGCGCGGAGGCTCTTGGGAGAGGAAAGCTCTGACCCACGGCGAAAGGGCTTCTGGGAGTAGTGGTCTTCTTCCCTGAACTTTGAGGCTAAGATGGCTAGTTGTCTTGTGGAGAACCGTTCTCCTCTCCGGAGGGGCATTCGGAAATTCACTTGTGAACTTGTAACCCCAAGTCCTGTCCAGAGCTGTGAAGGACAGGGACAGGTACTGCAGTAGAGATAATGTGGCGAGTGGAATGCTGGGAAGAAGGGACATGCAAACAGTCTTGAGGAAGGGTGCAACATGCCTGGCGGGATGGAACCCGGGCTTGGAGGGCTTCGGCGGTGAGGGGATAGGGACGCAGCTCCACACTGCCACCCCCGCAGCCTGAGGAGTTCCCCAAGACTAATAGAGTATTTGATGTGGATGAACATACAACGGGCAAGTTAGTACCTAAGGCCACAGAGACTCTGGATAGGACTATAGAATGAAGAACATTTGCCCCTGGAAACACCTGTGAAACAGGAATTTTAAAGCTATATGTGTGTTACTAAATTTTAGGCATAAATAATACAGCCCTTCGTGGTAGCCCACCCCTATGATCTCAACAGTCGGGAGACTGCCAAGGAGGAGGATTGCCAAGATTTCAAGTCTGGCCTGAGCTACATAGTACCATATTATCTAAAACAAAACAAGTAAAACTTAAAACTAGAAATAAATAAGGAACCAGAGATCAATGAATACTTCCAGAAGATAGGTGATTTTGGCTTTGGGTGAAGGGAGGGTTTAGATGATAGATACCTTTAGAGGAAATGTGGAACAGACTATGGTATCTGGATTCCTAAGATAGCCTTCTCTGACCCAGGCAGGGCCAGGTCCTCCTTGCACAGAAATACCAAAACCTTCCCATACTCAGTCAAGGGCTTACTTTCATGCCAACTGGAGTGAGCAAAAGAAAAAATTGTTTAAAGAGTACATTAGACTGAAGAGGTGACTCTGGGTATAGTTCTTCACAAATGTGCAAACCTGAGTTCAATCCTGGGAATCCACATAAATGAGTGAGAACCAGCTCTACAAAGTTGTCCTCTGACTTCCACATGTGCACCATGGCACGCATGTCACACACACACACACACACACACACACAATGCACACAATTATGCTAAAGAAATTTTTTGAGACAGGGTCTCCCAGTAACTCCAGCTGCCTGAAATGTCCTATGTAGACCAGGCTGACCTCACTCTCCCAGAGATCTGCCTCTGCCTCCAGAATTCAATGATTATAACAGGTGTACCACACCTTGCTATAATAAATAATTTTAATTTTTTGTTTGTTTTTGTGTGTGGATGAGTGTTTTGCCTGCATGTATCTAAGTGTACCACATGCATGCAGTGCTCACAGAGACCAGAAGAGGGCATCATATGGAACACAGACTTGTTAGACTCCGGTGCTCTTAACCACTGAGCCATCTCTCCAACCCTGAACAGGAAGTCTTACTCCTTGAAAAGTAACATTGTAAGATAAAACATCTAATGAAGGGGCATTCCAGGTGGGTGGCACTGCAGGTATAAAAGGGAACTCTGCCAAGGCTCTAGGATTTAGAACAGCCAGCCAGTGGGGTTCCTGCCTCTGGAACTCTACTGTCTTTCCTTCCCTGATCCTCTGTTTAGCAGGGTCAGGGATTAAACCCAGGGAGTTTTATGTGCTAGACAAGCACTCTTTATATACAACTTAAATTTGTATTACATTTACTTATTTGGGGTGGGGAGAGGCATGCATGATATGCTTGTGGAGGACAGAGGACAACTTTCAGGAGTCAGTTCTCTCCTTCTACCATGTGGGAACCAGGGATTGAACCCAGGACATTAGGCTTGGTAGTAGGTGCCCTTACTCATTGGACCATCTTGCTGGTCATAAGTAAACACTCTTACCACTGAGCTATATCTCCAGTCCTCTCCCCTCTGTAGAATGGGTACCCCTTATCCCACATTGTGCTTCTCAGGTTGAACTACAACAGACATAGACTGAATTCTCGGGTATATTAATTTTCCATCATTGCTCTAACAGAGAACCAAAGGCTGAATGAGTCAACAGGAATTTAGGGCTGTGGGCTATAACTCAGTGGTAGCATACTTGCTTAGCGAGCCAGTTCAGAAAGAATTAAATTTTTTTGTCATAATTGTATAGAAGTCTAAAGTCGAGGTGTTGTCAGAATTGGTTTCTTCTTAGCCTTCCTCAGTTTGTCAATGGCCATCTTCTCCCTTTGTCTTCAAACAATGGCCTGTCTCCAAACACAGTCGCATACCAAGATATTTGAAGGGAACTGGGTGGAAGGGTCACACAATCCACCTCAGAAGGTCACAATAATTGGTGTGAAAGGAATCAGAGTCCTAGAGATTTTTTATAGGTGTCAAATGCCGAGATCATGGTATGGGATGGGCCTGGGAAGGTGACACAGCAGAGAGATGTCCCTGGTACAGAGGGTCCTCCCTTCCCCATGCATCCATTTCCCCAGCAGAGTGGGAGTTAGAGGAAGCATAAGCCTCGGTAGTACTAGGGAAGAGTCAGCTCCATCACAAGGTGACAGGAACACTGCATTCAGCCAAGTCAGTTCACCCTCTCAAGACCCTCCCTCTCAGCTGCATGGCCCATCAAAGACACACAGACAACCTTCCCCATCTTACCAGTGTGGAAACTGAAGTTGGGCTTGTGGAGAAGACCACCCAAACTCTCCCAGCAAGTGAATGCAAGAGTCTAGGCTGGATGTGGGTCTTGTCCTTGCAGTTCATGTAGTCAGCCAGTTCTACTTGACCCCCCTCAGAGTCCCACAAATTGTTCTAGATGCTGTTGAACAAATCATGAACATCTCTGCCCTCACAAGGTCACACTTTAATGAGGGGTGATGGGCATCAGCACAATAAGGAATAGACAGCTTGTTAGCCAGTAATACCCTCTGTGGTGAGAAGAGAACCTAGCTCTCTGTGTGGCCACCAGCACAGGTATGGGCTCATCACACACTGCTCACCAGCACCCTCTGCAGAGCCCCCCAAATGGTTCTGTGCAACACATGCCTGATGCTGACAGGCAGGTTCCATGGCCCCAGTGAATGAGCTCTGGGCAATGCGCCTGCACAGATTCTGCACTGACCCCAGAACTGAAAGCCCAAGGTTTGGAATCTTCCCCCCTTGGAGGTGATTGGAGGGGGTCATGCCAGGGTGTTTGCTCCTGCTATTTCATCTTTAGGCAGAGTCAAGTGGAGAACAACCACTTTGTCCTTGTCACTTTGGATTTTGATGCTGCAAAGGACGAACTCTATCAGAAACTGGGCAAATCCTAGGAACTTGGATCTTTCTACATTCATCCATGTGAACAGCTGTCCACTTGTGAGACAAAAAAAAAGACCTGAAACCAACACCTTTATGTACTGGGTAGCATTAAGGTGGGTATAGCATTAGACACCTGTACTGTAGTCTCAGTTACTTCCACACACTGAATGTGAGTTCAAGATTAGCCTGGATAACATAGTGGCCTATTGCCCCTTGTCCAAAATACATTTATTTATTTTGTCTTAAAACCTGTTTTTTTTGTTTTGTTTTGTTTTTGTCTTTTTTTCTTAAGTTTGTGTGTATGAGTGTATTGCCTGCATGCATGTGAGTGCACCAGTGTTGTACAATGCCGCAGAAGTCAGAAGAGGGCTTTGGATTCCCATGGAACTGGAGTTCGGACAGTTCGTAGCCGCCATGTGGGTGCTGGGACTCAAACCCAGGTCCTCTGCAAGAGCAGTCAGTACTCTTAACTGCTGAGCCATCTCTCCAGCCCCTTGTTTTCTCTTTTTGAGACAGGGTCTCCCTGTAGCCCCAGCAATCCTGGAACTCACTATGTAGACCAGGCTGGCCTGGAACGCAGAGATCTGCCTGCTTCTGCCTCCCGAGTGCTGGGATTAAAGTTGTGCTGTGCCACGCCTGGCTCAATATTGCCTTTTTTGGAAATCAAATTAAGATGAAGTCATTCTGGATTAAAGTGAGTTATAATCCAATGACTAGTGTCCTTGTGAAAAGAAATAATAGGGCTGGGGATATAGCTCAGTTGGTAGAGGACTTATATTGCATGCACGAAGCCTGAGTTCAGTCCCCAGCACTGCATATGAGTTCAAGGCCAGCCTGGTCTACAAAGCAAGTTTCAGGCCAGCTAGGGCTACAGGGAGAGACTGTCTCAAAAATAAATAAGGGGCTGGAGAGATGGATCAGCTGTTAAGAGCACTGACTGCTCTTGCAGAGAACCTGGGTTCAATTCCCAGCACCCACATGGCAACTATGAACCGTCCTTAACTCCAGTTCCATGGGAATCTGAAGCCCTCTTCTGACCTCCGTGGCATTGCACAATACCAGTGCACTCACATATATGCAGGCAATGCACTCATACATATAAAATAAAAAATAATAGCCAGGTGTGGTGGCACATGCCTTTAATCCCAGCACTTGGGAGGCAGAGGCAGGTGGATCTCTGTGAGTTTGAGGCCAGCCTGTTCTACATAGTGAGTTCCAGGACAGCTGAGGCTACAGGGAAACCCTGTCTCAAAAAGACCAAAAAATAAAATAAAATAAAAAATAATATTTAAAATAAAAAAATTTAAAACAACAAAGAAAATTAAAAAAACTACAGTGTAGGCCAGGTGTGATGGCATGGGCCTCTAATCCCTGCACTTGAGAGTTGGAGGCAGGAGGATCAGGAGTTCAAGATCATCTGCAGGTACATAGTTTGAGGCAAACCTGGGCTATGAGACCTTATCTCAAAAAATATAGGGCACCCTGCTTCCCTGGGCCTGCACTACCCACAGGCCTCTTACTCCTGGGTAAGTTGATCGTGCCCTCTGTGCCTTGACTCCCCCAGCCTCATTCACCCTCCCATCTCCCCTGCCAGTCTCTCCTCCTAGCCTGGGTCCTGTCCCATTCCTTGTCTTGGTGCCCCAGACACCTGGGGAACCACCACTGCTTCCTGATCCTTTGCACCCAGAGCAACTCAGTTCCTTCTGGGGTCCTCGGGAGCACTGCTTCCGGTCCTGGCCCCGCGGTCACCTCCCTCTGCTTCCCTGGGGCCTGCAGGACCCTCAGGCCTCTCTCAGACCTGCAGGCCTCTCTCCAAACCACAGTCCTCTCTCTCCGGGGTAGGTCGGTGGAGCCCTCCATGCTTTGACTCCCCCAGCCTTGTTGACCCTCCCATCTCCCCTGCCGGTCTCTCCTCCTAGCCTGGGCCCTGTCCCATTCCTTGTCTTGGCGCCCCAGACACCTGGGGAGCCACCACTGCTGCATGATCCTTTGCATCCAGACCAACTCAGTTCCTTCTTGGGTCCCCAGGGGCACTCTGAGCCTGGCCCCACCCTCACCTCCCTCTGCTTCCCTGGGTCTGCACAACCCACCAGCCTCTTTCCTGGATGCCCTGGGTGACCTTTCTTCTTCCTGGTCTTTTGCATCCAGACCAACCCAGCTCCTTAGTGCAGTCCCCAGGGGCCCTTGGGGCCACTTCCCACCCCCATCTTCCTTTGCATCTCTGGGTGGCACGGCCACCAGCTGCCCTAGACCAGCATCTTTCCTA